TCGCTACTAGTAACAAGAAGCTACTAGGGGCTCCTGGCATCGCTACTAGTAACAAGAAGCTACCAGGAGCTCCTGGCATCGCTACTTGTAACAAGAATAAGCGCTAGGGGCTCCTGGCATCGCTACTAGTAACAAGAAGCTGCCAGGGGCTCCTGGCGTCGCTACTAGTAACAAGAAGCTCCTAGGGGCTCCTGGCATCGCTACTAGTAACAAGAAGCTACTATGCTCCTGGCATCGCTACTAGTAGCAAGAAGCTACTAGGGGCTCGTGGCATCCCTACTAGTATCAAGTTGCTACTAGGAGCTCCTACCAGTAACAAAAAGCTACTAGGGGCTCTTGGCATCGCTACAAGTAAAAAGAAGCTACTAGGGGCTCCTGGCATCGCTGCTAGTAACAAGAAGCTACTAGGGGCTCCAAGCTACTAGGGGCTCCTGGCATCGCTACTAGTAACAAGAAGCTACTAGGAGCTCCTGGCATCGCTACTAGTAACAAGAAGCTACTAGGGGCTCCTGGCATCGCTACTAGTAACAAGAAGCTACTAGGGGCTCTTGGCATCGCTACTAGTAACAAGAAGCTAGTGGGGACTCCTGGCATCGCTACTAGTAACAAGAAGCTACTAGGAGCTCCTGGCATCGCTACTAGTAACAAGAAGCTACTAGGGGCTCCTGGCATCGCTACTAGTAACAAGAAGCTACTAGGGGCTCCTGGCATCGCTACTAGTAACAAGAAGCTACTAGGGGCTCCTGGCATCGCTACTAGTAACAAGAAGCTACTAGGGGCTCCTGGCATCGCTACTAGTAACAAGAAGCTACTAGGGGCTCCTGGCATCGCTACTAGTAACAAGAAGAAGCTACTAGGGGCTCCTGGCATCGCCACTAGTAACAAGAAGCTACTAGGGGCTCCTGGCATCGCTACTAGTAACAAGAAGAAGCTACTAGGGGCTCCTGGCCTTACTACTAGGAGGTACAAATGGAGATTCCACGATTCGGCACTGGAGCTATGGGGACAAGCCCGACGATACGAGGAGAAGGACTGGAGCGATGCCGAGCTGAAGAACTTCATCCACAGCAATGGGCTCATCAGACCGGCCAGGTGCGGAATGGCTTGGGGTGTGGAATGGGCGATGGCTCGGGGTGTGGTTGGCAAAGTTTCTATTGGTGTTGAAACTCGACTTGGTTGGCGAAGTTGCAAAATGAGCAAGGAGCAAACATTGGCAAGCATTAGTCATCAGTCACATGAGTTTGGAACAAGGGCCGTGGGGGGGGTTAAAGCCCAGGACAAAGGGCCAGCAAAAGCCGGAGCCAACTGCGGCTGATTGGAAGGCGTTGAGTCGGCGACGGATGCCTTTTCGCTTCCAGTGCTGAACGGGGAGATCCAGATGCTGTTCACTAGCTGCGACCGAGAGACCAGACTTCACTAGACTGCCCATTTTGATCCATTTTGAACCTATGAACTTGACAGAATTGCAAGTGTTCGAGTTGCGTTTGACCCTCCTCCCTTAGGCCACAAGGATAGAAAGGAGGAGAAGCTTGTTGACACGTTTTGTTTTGTTTGCAAGCATCGTAGTGGCTATGACGTGAACGATCGGCGACGTGCTGGCGTAGCGGCGTAACATCATTGCCAGGTCTTGGAGTTGGAACCTGGGGCTGATCCTGCCCAGCTGAAGAAGGCAATGATGTTTTGCGACGGAGTCGCTTGTCGAGTGTGTGGGCTTCTGCAAAAGTTGGAGAACTGCACGGCCTCTCATTTTGTTTGTGCCGGGGTGCGCGAAGCTTGTGCTAGAAACACGTGCTGCTGATGTACATGTACATGGAAGGATGTGTGTGAGGCCTACCGACGCTTGGCCTTGCTCTACCACCCCGACAAGCAGAGAAATGAAAAGGACAAGGCCTCACGACTTGATGATCAAACTTAATGGTCGGTTCTTGTTCCACGAGAACATGCATTTCCTCAGCAACCAGGCTGCAATGCCCTCGATCATGGCCCTTCATAAGTAGAGCCACAGTGATTGATACTGTTCACTGTTAACTGTTCACTTCTCATGTGGACACTTATATAGTGAACACTTATAGTGACGTTCTGTGAGGTTTGGGTGGCTGCTCACATTCATTCACATTTGAGGGTTTCTCGTGACCGCCCATCCAGGCCTCCGCAACGGAGAAGTTTCGCAAGGTGGTGGAGGCCTACGAGGAGCGCTCACACCATCCCTTACCGATGTTCGGTGTGTACACCCACCCCATTTGCATTGAACAATCTCTTCATAAGGGGGGGGTCATGATGTCAAGAGTCTACATTAGGTCATGACCGGTAGCTTCCTGGAACCACCATCGAAAACGGACTCAAACTCACCGACACAGCAACTCACTCAAGGGGGGGTCTTCTTCCATGTAGAGTTTGAGGCATGTTTCGATTCACGGCAGTCCACATTCATTTCTTCACTCACAACATAGATCGAGCCTGGCTGCGGAGAAAAGCGCCTCCACATGAGTTTCTTTGACTTGGTTCACTATCTTTCACTGAAGCATCATACCAAATTGCGGCATTTGTTGGCGGCACGTCATGACTGCCTGGGGTCTCAGGCCTGTATCAAGTCCTATGGTCCTATGGATGTGATTGAGGATTCTACCACATGTGGGACAAAAAGGAGAAGTGTTTCTCCCAGCTCCGTGTTTGAATGGAGGACAAAACCTCCCCTGATTCTTGCAACTACTGCCGGGTGCATCTCCTAACTACGAACAAACGAACGAGTTCCTGAACAGCGTTTGGCCATTGAAGGCAGCCTTTGTACCGTAGCAATCGGTATTATCATAATCCATCCACGATCAGGCCATTGCCGGACATGTGGCAGAGATCCCTGCAGTGGCCGCGTCGCTGGGCTGCGCGAGTCTTTTTTTGTTAGCCGTGCTGCACATGTTTACCTGCTTCTAGTTACTAGAAAGCTTTATTGTTACTACCAGCGATGGCCTCCACCTAGTAGAAATACCTTTGTTAACTTGTTACTAGCTTTATTGTTACTACTAGCGGTGGCCTCCACCTAGTAACTTTTTTGCTACTAGTAGAAATGCCCTTGCTACTATATAGTAGCTTCTAGTTACTAGAAAGCTTTATTGTTACTACCAGCGATGGCCTTCACCTGGTAGCCTTTTTGCTACTAGTAGACATGCCCTTTTTACTAGTAGCTTTTAGTTACTAGAAAGCTGTATTCTTAGTACCAGTCATGGTCTCCACCTAGTAGCTCTTTTGCTACTAGTAGACATGCCCTTGTTACCAGTAGCTTCTAGTTACTAGAAAACTTGTTTGTTACTACAAGCGATGGCCTCCACCTAGTAGCTTTTTGCTACTAGTAGAAATGCCCTTGCTACTAGTAGCTTCTAGTTACTAGAAAGCTTTATTGTTACTACCAGCGATGGCCTCCACCTAGTAGCTTTTTGCTACTAGTAGAAATGCACTTGTTACTAGTAGCTTCTAGTTAATTAAAATGCTTTATTGTTACCAGTAGCTTTTTGCTACTAGTCGAAATGCACTTGTTACTAGTAGCTTTTAGTTATATACTAGAAAGCTTTATTGTTACTACCAGCGATCTTCTCCACCTAGTAGCTTTTTGCTACTAGTAGACATGCCCTTGTTACTAATAGCTTCTAGTTACTAGAAAGTTTTATTGTTACTACCAGCGATGGTCTCCAGCTAGTAGCTTTTTGCTACTAGTAGACATGCACTTGTTACTAGTAGCTTCTAGTTACAAAAAAAGCTTTATTGTCACTACCAGCGATGGCCTCCACCTAGTAGAAATGCCTTTGTTAACTTGTTACTAGCTTTATTGTTACTACTAGCGGTGGCCTCCACCTAGTAACTTTTTTGCTACTAGTAGAAATGCCCTTGTTACTAGTAGCTTCTAGTTACTAGAAAGCTTTATTGCTACCACCAGCGATGGCCTCCACCTAGTAGCTTCTTGCTTCTAGTAGAAATGCCCT